TGAATGAAAATACTGCTTTGGGGACACAGGGCTACCAGAAGTCATGGAAAAGGGGGAAAAAGGTGGTTTGAACTCCACAGAGTGATGAGATCCCAAAGCCTGGCCTGTGTCCCAGCTGGTTTATGTGTGTCCATGGCTCAGTCACATGCCAGGAGATCTTGGATTATAAACCAAGGCAAGGCCATGGAACAGGTGCTTTTGGGCTTTTGTCCTTGTTTCCCAGCCCAGCCCTGTCCTGGCTCACGTGGCATTGGAACCATCAGTGGCTTTTGGGGTTTGCTGTGAAACACAAACTGGATTGAATTGGAGCAGTTTGTGGTTTTCCAAGTGTTTCCTGAAGCTCCCAGTTTCCTGCTTAACTCCATAGCTGCTGCTTGAGGCACAGAGGTGACAGTGGGTGGGATAATTGCCTTCAAATCTAAATAACTCCTTCCTTTTGGAAGCTGATCCCCTCTTTTCTGAGTGAAATGACTTTGGCTTTGTTTTTTTTTTAGAGCATCATTTTACCTGTTCTTGCCAATACCCACAATTTCTTGCTGGGCAATCTTCTCAGTCCTTTGGAAATTGGTATTTTAATTTCCTCCCCGCTATGTTCCCTGCACACTGGGGGGGAATGGCTGATGCAATGTGTGGTGAAAATCATCTGTGCAATGTGGTGCTTTCCAGCTCAAATCTCCATCACTGCACGAGCTGAAAGTGAGGGAAAGTCATTCCCTGATGGGGGATATTTGTTGGGGAGCTTTTTGCAGAAATATCCCCCTTTCAGCTCTGCTGAAGAACTCGGTTCTGTTAAAAAATAAATAAATGTATCCTTTAAAATCCTTTAGGAGTCTCTGAAGTGGGGGAGGCACCATTAGAGGTTGGTGTTGGGCCTCCTTGAGATAAAGATCTATTTTTGTGCTTCTTCTTAGGTGGATACTGAGTGGGAAGAAAGGAACCAAAATTTGGAAAATTACTTTTAAAGGGGATTTAGCCTATAAAAGGAATGGAATTGGGGTTTATTGTGTGTCCTCTGCTGCATCACTTGTTTTTTTCCCTTCTCCTTATTTTCAAAGGTCCTTGGAAATTTAAAAGATTGGTCACTCCCAACCCCCAGCTTGGTCCTGAGCTCCTTTCTTGCCATTCAACCCTTGCTTTTAAATCCCCCTCCCAGGTCTCTGGATAAGCTGATAAAGCAGATTCCCTCTCATAAAATGAGATGTTCAGGAAGGAAAGGTCCAGGGAGATGGGAATTCAGTGATGGCCAGGGGTCAGAGTCATTTTCCCTTTGATAGCAGCCTGTTTTTCATGGAGGAGTGTTCCCAGGGATTAGTTTCTCAGTGAAAATGAGGAAAATTACTCTGTGGTTTTCGTGTAGGGTGTTAAAGACCTAAATTTTTGTCCTTTTTGAGCACAAGAATCAGGAGAAATTTCCCCTGGAAGTGCAATATGTGAAATTTGGGGCTCAGTGCTCTGCATTTCCTCACTGTACAGATGCTCCCCTAAAAAACCCCTCACGTGTCGAAATCTTCTCCAGGCAACAGTTGGTTTGAAGCTTTCAAATTCCTTTTCAAGGTGGTTTTACTCACTGGGCTGGAAGGGACCTCAAAGCCCATCCAGGAACAGGGACACCTCCCACTATCCCAGGTCGCTCCAGCCTGGCCTGAAGCAAATAACATTTAAAAAACTTAAGTCTGAAATTTCATTTCCTTTCTAAAACTTTTTTTGTTCTTTTCTTTTCTTTCTCTCCCAGATGGGAAGGTTGAAGTGACAAAGGAAGGAGTGAAGCTGTGCACCATGGGGCCTGGCAAGGTTTTTGGGGAGCTGGCCATCCTCTACAACTGCACCCGGACCGCCACTGTCAAAAGTAAGAGCCTTTGGGATGTCGGGGTCTCCTTGGGATTTTCTCACCTCTGCCTTGGAGTTACAGCCTCTAACAGCTGTTTTGCTTTCTTCAATCATGAGAGGTGTGGATTTTAGGGTGGGATTTAGCCACTGGGAGCAGGGAGGAGGTGCAGAGGAAGCGCTTCCCTGGATTTGGCTGCTCATTTTTGCTCCCTCAGGAACCTCGGGTTGATTTCCCTCATGCAGAGGAGCTCATCTCATAGTTTTCCCTACAATTCCTGATGAATCTCATGGTATTTATGTTTTTGTGGCTTAGAAGAGCATTTCTGACCTCATAAGTCTTCAGTAAGTCGAGCTTAGTATCTGTTCAGGACAAATTTTCAGCACTAAGCTGACTAAAATAAATCAGGAAAAAAAAACCCACCCTGGATGCCACTTGACCCCTTGCTCTAAACTCTTCAGCACTTCTCCTGTAATCTGATTTCTTTTATGAGTGTCCTGGGCAAAGGCTGGAGTTGCTCAATTAGGGGGAGGAAATAAATCACAGAAATACAGCATAAATACATTTTCCTCTAAATTCGGATGGATAGTTGGGATTTGGGATATTTGGTGCCACAGCCCTCCCTGATCCTGAGGGATCAGAGTTTATGGTGGTGTCTTAAGCAGAGAGGTTTTATAGGAGATGATAAATAGTGGTGTGGTTTTAAGATGCTGTAGGGGAGAGGTTAGAAGGGTACAGATGGGGTAGAATAATACAAAGACAAGTCCCAGAATAATGAGGCCTGGGAATGAATCTCTGTCCAGAAAAAGGCCTTTTACAAATACCTCATTTTCCTTCGAAAAGAGAGAGAAAGGACAAGAACAAATGGGCAGAAATGACAAAACAGGGGAAGAGAACTGGATTCTTGTGTGAAGGACGTGCTGTTCCCAAGTTCTGGAGCAGGGCACTGAGAGATTCCATTGTCACCTGTGCAGACCTTGCACTGGTTATCCCAGGGAAATCTTGGCTACAACGCAGGCAGTTGTCCCAAATAATGCAGGAAATGTGCAGGGTAAGCTGTGCTCAGCTCTGGGGCAGCCCCAGAGACCTCCAGAGTGTTGGGCTGCTCTGCTGGGAGGGCTCCACCTCCTTCCCCCAGTCCAGCAAGGAAGCAGCAGGAACACGGCTGGGATTGGGAATTGCTGATCCTCCCTCTGCTCCCTTGGTGCCTCATCCCTGTACAGCCCATTTCTCTGTCCAGGGGAAGGTTTGGGGTGTCGGGGGTGCTGATAAATGAGCAGCTTGTGTGATAAACACAATCAGAGAAAGTCAGGAAGAGCAGAGACAGAGGGGGAATGGCTGAATCCTACAAAAGACAACAAGAGGATGGTGGTTGTTTAGTTCCCTTTAGGAATGCAGAGCTAAAAGGCACCTGATCCTCTACTGCCAGGATCCCATCCTTGTGTAATCCTGCACAGCCACCCTACTCCTGTGTCCCTTTTCCCCTCCTTGTCTGGGCTCTCCCCCAGGAAATCAAACTGCAGCAGTTTGTCCTGGCAGTTTTGCTCCCACTGCCTTTCCCACGTCCTAAATCTCCTCTCTGGAGCAAAATTCCAGGTTGCCACTGGGCACTGAGTTGTGCCAAATCCTCTTTCCCTGGTTAAATTGGGGGCAGGAGTAAGGTCAGTGCTCCAGACACCCTCAGAGAGCTGTTGCCTTGAGGAAGAGGTGTCTGTGGTTGTTCCTCTCTGTCCCTTCCCCAGAGGTGTCTGTATTTGTTACTCTCTGTCCCTTCCCCACCAGGGTCGTACATTTATAATCCTGCACCTTCTTCTGCCACGTTTGGAATCTCATTCCCAAAGCCAGCAAGGGACTTTTAGGTCTTTTTCTCTCTCATTACTGCTCAAGTGAGAACCAGTTGTGATTGTAATGGGCTTTATATCCTTCCAGGTGACAGGGGAACTGCTCGAGCTCGACCCGACTGAGCCGAGGTCGGGGAGGAGCTCAGATCACTTCAGGGCGTAGGATTGACTTCAATGGGTACAAACAGCTCCCAGCTCCTGCCTGTGCCCCCAGCTAAATGAGAAATAAATGCCATGGATCTGTAGAAAGGCAAACCCCAGGAAATAGTCCATTCCATCTGGGGGGTGACTCTGAGCAGGTTTGTCTCAGCAGGCATGAACTGCTGGTGACTGTGGTGGAAGGAGCATCACCCAGCTCTCACTCAGAGAAACACTTGGGGCTTCCCAGTTTTCAGGAGGTGGATTCCCATTCCCTCCAGAGCATCAGGAGGGAATTTTTACCCACATTTTGATGTGTGTAGCTCCTTAGCAGGACATTCAGGATTCCTTTCTGGGCGATGGGGCTGCAGCAGGGACTGAGTGCAGGGTGGGTTTTTGGGGTGTGAGGCCCAGCCCTGCACAGGGGCTGGGAGGATGTGGCAGCTGAGTGGCAGCTCTGGCTGGAACTCGTTTCTCTCTGTACCCTGGCACTGGCTCTGTAAATAATGAAGATTTTAGTGTCACTGTGTTTAGTCTACACGGGCTCCTGAGCTGCTGCTCGCTCTGGAGGAGCAACTCAAAGGCATAAATCACCCCAGGAGGGCTTTGTCTTCTCCCTATGATTTAGAAGACATTAAAATGTAATGATTCTGATCTGACTCCTGTTTCAGAAGGGCCTCTTTAATAAGGCAATCCAGGTCTTTTGAAAGCCTGCCCCGAGAGAACCATTAGAATATTTTGTCACAATTATTCCTGTCTCAAAGGAAGGCAGGATGGGGGCTGAGCAGGGCCTGGGGAGGAAGAGCAACCAAAGCCTTGGTGTTGAGGAGCACTGAGGAAGGCAGGGACTCATCTCACGACACGTGGCCTTGTTTTAAGACAACTGGATGATTTTTGACATCTGATTTCTGGCTGTTGTTGTTCTGAAGCATTTGCTTTTTATTCCCTGCTATTACAGAAAAAATAATAGTACTTTTTTGGGTTTGTTTTTTTGATTTGTCTTTTTTTTTCTTCTGGTGGCAACTGGTCAGTGTGTCCCAAGGATGTCACTGCTCAGGCTTTGTGAATCACTGCTGTTCACAGATCAGCTTCCACTGCACAGCCAGGGAAATCCAAACCAGCAGCTCCTTCCTTCCTCTGTCTGCATTGATTACCCTGAGCTCTCTGGTGCCTACATGCAAACCTTGATGCAATTTAAGGCAGAATCACAGGCTTTCCTCCCTGATTCCAACAAATAATTTAATCCAGTGCATTAGAAAAAGGAGAACTCCACTCCTTAGGGATAAACTGTGTCACACCTACAACGATGTCTCTGATCCCCCCTTACTGGTAACGTGGGGGGAGAAGGAACGAGGAGAGGTCAGGTAAAAAAAAGCTTAAAAAAGACAAAATTACCCCCAGCTGAATTCAGGCTGAGTAAAAAAACTTTCATTTGCTGATAGACAAGATGTTTTTCTTGTGCTGTAGCTCTCATTCCTCTTGGATAGTGTGTGGAGCAGAGTTCAGCAGGACTTTTACAGGTGATTTTGGACAGCACTGATTTTGTGAAAGGAGTGGATTCTTCATCTTCTCAGGATGTTGTGGTTATTCCAGGGGTAGCTTTAACATCTGAAATGGATTCTCCTGGGAGCAAAATTCCAGTAGGAACCTCCCACAGGCTGCCCTTTGCAGGGGAGTTACACACTCAGCACCAGCCTGTGCTTTGAGGGGGACTGTGAGCAAAAAAGCAAGCACAGGCTGAGGCTGTTAAACTCTAAATTATGGAAATCTCTTTTCTGCTCCTCAAAAGCCACTTTCTCAAGCTCTCCCCCTCTTGCCAGCAGTGCTAATTGTACAGAACTCCGTGTGGCACAGTGGGATTAAGGCAGGAGTTTAGCAATTCCTTGCTAAGCTTGGATGAGTTTGAATTTTCCACTGCTGGGTGTTTTTTATTTAATAGAGTCCTGTGCGCTGGTAGTTGCAGCCCCAGAAATTACAGAACTTTTCCAAGGAGCTTGGTAACCTGGGTTATTTGCAAGGAAAAATAAGGCAACAGCAGCTGCCAATTAAACCTGCAGAGCCTCATTAAAAGCCCTGGAGAAGGATGTTGGCTTTGTGTTTCTCCTCTAACAATTACAGGAGCTCAGATCTTCTTCAAACAGTCACACCCCTTGGAAAGAAGGCTGTCTTTACATATTCAGCCATTTGATTAAAACCTTTCTGCCATTACTTCAGGACACCCAGGATGGCCAGAGCAGAGTCTGGAGTGCCCTGGGTGGAGATAAATGGATTTATCCCTGGAGAAAGTAATTTAAACCCTCCCTGGCACCGTATTTTTCTTTGACCTTTATGGGTTTTGCCAGGTAATGCAACAAAATGGGATTGGATTATTCCTCCAAGGGGATGATAAGGAGGAGATGATGTTGAGAACAACGGGCAGGAAGTTTTTTCCTCCTCTTGCTGTTGAGGAGACAGGAGCAGCTGCAGGATGGCATCTCTGGGGCTCAGGAGGGACCAGCACAGGGGCCTGGCTGAAAGGTTAATGCAGACACAGTCTGATCCAAGAGAGAATGGTCTGGGATGGGAAAAGCACAGTGGAAAATTCATCCACCCCCTGGGTTTGTTGGGAGCCCAAAATGTTGCCAGGCCTGTGGGAAAAATCAGAGCTGGGGAAGGAAACAGGGCAAAAAAAAAATAAAGGAAATAAGTATCAATGTCTTGATACTTAATTGGATTATTAGTTGTTTTTAAATAGGAAGGGCGTGGTGTAGACAGAATGACCCACCCTGGGCTTGGGTATCAAGCCAGTGTTTAAACTGGTTTCCTTCCAAAATCCAGGGATTATTTTGTTTTTACACTTGATGCAGTTCTGGCACCTCAAGATTCAAGTCCCCACTTTGCTCAAAACCTCAAAACTGCTGTGGCAGCTTTGGGGTTATTCCTTATCCTGACTGATCCTTATCCCTTCAGGAGTTTGAGGAATGCCCATTGAAATGTCTCCTATTCAGGCTTTCAGCTCTGAGAAGTCTTAATACAGAAAGTTCTGTCTGGGAAATGTTGGGA